TTCAAAGAATTTGCTGCGTGTGATAGTGCTACCGCAATAATGTTCAACTTCGAACTGTACACTGGCCAAGAAGACACTGCAGGAGGGTTAGCCCATGATGTCGTAGTGCACCTGATTGCGGGTTTGGAGGGCCAGCATCACATTCTCTACACTGACAACTTCTACACGTCGGCCAAGCTGGCAGATTCACTACGGCAAAGAAACATTCATCTTGTCGGGACAATCCGGCTCAACAGGCGTGGATTCCCAGCGCAGATGAAGGCACACGTGAAGGCATTCGAACGCCGAGCCGAACGAGGTGCATGCCGCTATGTACGAAGCGACGGAAATCTATACCAGCAGTGGAAGGATAAGAGGGTGGTATCAACACTTTCAACCGCCCACCGCGGTAATGCTCACGTCATGGTGAATCGGAAAGGACGGAATGCAGCAGGGCAATACACAAACATCGAGAATCAGCAGCCGCAGACCGTTGCCGATTACAATGCGTCAACGGGCGGTGTTGACACATTCGACCAGTTGGTCGAAACTTACCGGCGCCTTCGACGGACAAGGAAATCCTGGAAGTCAATGGTCTTCGACATGATTGATGTTGCTGCTGTGAATTCCTATAGGATGTTCCTTGCATTCACCGCAGGTACAGATGATCCTACCAGCCGCCATCGAAACCCTCATAATATATTCCAGTGCAATCTCATCCGCCAGCTAGCAGCAATTGCAGAGAACGAGCCAATTCCGAAGGGTGCTTACCGGCCGGCCATACGGGAACCGCCAGCAGAACTTGATGGTATGCACCTCGTCCGTCGCTCGAACGAAAAGCGCAACTGCATTTTATGCTATAGAGAACGAGACAAAGAGCTGAAGGTGGTGACCTACTGCAATGAATGCCAGGCTTACCTCCATGTTACGAACCGCGATTGCTTCTACCGTTACCATGCGATCGCCTATGCTCCGCATGATTCCAGCGATGATTCTGCCGGCTCAAGCGATTGATTTATGGAGGGAAGCTATAAAGGGGTGTCACGTGTTCTCCAGGTGATGACACAGTGTACAAATCTTACATAACAATAATATTGTTCTGTGTATACTGAAACGTTTCTTGAAAATGTACGCATTTTCACCAATTTTCTTCTTTCGAGCGTGCATTTCAACAATTTTGATTCACCCGGCGTATTTTTACTTGTGTCTATTGAATTGATACGAGCAAGACCATTCAGAAAATATATAGTTTTGCATCTGACATAATGAACTGTTCACGAGATATTGCTGGTTTAATGCAAAGAAGTAAAAATGGCCCAAAAACCGGATTTCAGTGGAGCTCTAAAGGGTTAAATTTGATTCCCAGTGGGTCCATTGTTATTGGGCGTATACCTCTTTTAATTCCCACTATAAATAAAGTACCGTAAAGTATTGTATAAAAGCCGCACTTGAATAGAAGCCGCCCTCGAATAGAGGCCGCAATTTTGGGCCTATCAAATGATAAGCCTGGTTTTAGTGTTGACATACATAGAAATACCTCTCTTGTATAGAAGCCTGTCTCATATAGAAGCCTGCAAAATTTCATCAAGAAAGTCATAGAAGCCGCTGCTTTTATACAAGACTTTACAGTATACAACAACAACCAAACTGACCTGCGTGCTTCATCTTCCTCTTGTTCTTGCCTGCGCCGCTCGGCTGCCTCTTGTCGTCGGCGGTCAGCAGCCTCTGCCTCTGCGTCCTGCATGGCAGCCTGCTCTGCTTCTTCAGCCGCTCTCTGCACAACACAACCATGTGAGTGGTGGAGTAGAGAACCATGCGAGTGGTTGGGCAGGACACATGCACGCACACACAAACTCATCTACGGATGATGAAAATCATCAAATACAGTAAAACCTGTCAAGGAGACCACTCGGATAAGGCGGCCACCTGTCCTAGACCACTGCGACACGATCAAGCAATGCTATTTCAAGTCAGATGACCCTGGATAAGGAGACCACCTGGTAGTGGAGACCACGTTTTGACGGTGCCTTGAGCGGCGTCGTAGACAGGTTTCACTGCATAAGTAAAGTTCAAACATTCTCGCTATCACCTGCTATACAGCCGTCTATACGTGATAACCTTTGCACAAATACTGTAGTGGACATTGGAATCTGATGAAAAGTCAAGCGGCCACGGGGCGATGGCCTTGCAGCCGTGAGCACTGCTGCTACATATTTACAGTGTAGACAGGAACTACAGTGAGTGTACTGCACGCGCTAAAACTTAAAAGCAGCAAGGGCACCGACCCTGGCCATCCCATCGGACTTCAATGCCCACGACAGTACTTATGCTCACATGCATGTGTGCACATACCTACGCGCACCTACAAGCGCGCACAGACACCCATTTAAACACACTCTCTCCCACTCACACCCACAGAGAAACGGACTAACATGAACAGACCCACATGCAGACCTACATACAGGAACACATGCGCACCCCCCCCCCCCCCCCCCCCCCCCTGGTCCGGTCAATACCGTAGTGACCGTAGAGTGTACGGCACCCCTCATACAATGCTACACCCGATGCTACCCACCCACATGCTCACCCTGTTGTCCCTGCCCTTTTGGAGGGTATGTGCCCCTTTTGGCACGTGTGTGCTGGGTACGCGTGGTCGGTGTGCGGACTGCGCATGCCTGCATATTATTGTACGCATTCTTGTTTTTTGTGGCCTTCTTCTTGAGACTCTCTTTGGAGCAACAACAATAATCTGTTCTCTGAGTGTGGCGTACGTGTGATATAAGAGATATCGAGAGTAATCGGAAGGGCTATCGTCGAGGCATAAAACCCCCCGACGACAACCCCATCAGCATCACACTGTCCCTCCTCAGTTGTAGAGCGTCAGTACCGTCGGTCAGTGGCGTGCAATGTTATCGCATGAGCTGATTGTTTAGTACCTGGTCGTGTTAGTGGACATTAAAAAGCGTAACTTGTAGTTCCTTGGTCCTTTTTTTCTTCTTATAAATACACACAGTCGTGCTCACCTCTTCAGCCTCACGCTGTGCCTCCTCAGCACGCTGCGCCTCCGCGCGTGCCCTCTGCTCTGCAATTTCACGCTGACGCTGGTCTTGCTGCTCGCGCCGCCGTTTCTCCGCGTCCTCCTCGTCCTTAGCCATGTTCTCAAACTTCCTACGAATGCTGGAAGCACCTCCGGCCGTTGCCTTGCTTCTCTGATAGTTTGTACCCTTCGTGTCTTCCATGTCCTGAGAACACAACACACACACACACACACACACACACACACACACACCGGAGCAGAGAATGCAATGAAAGCATTGATACACGTTTGCAACGGAACAAGGCTATATATAAATATATAGGTTGCCTTGACTGCCCATGACTCGCAGCCATAAAGTAACGTTGAGAGGACGACTGCAGAGTAAACATGAGTCTTGGTGCGCACACAGATGTGGCGGTTTCCGAAGACAGCAGAAAGCAAGGCACCAAAAGACCGGGAGGCCTTGGCAAGACGGGAAGAAACCTCAACCGACAACTGGTCATCGATAGTAATACAGGTACCGAGGTATGTAAACTCGTTCACGATTTCGATGTCGCCATCTGCCAACGTCAAACATCCAGTCGGAGGGGATCAGCATTTATGACCATGCACCTCGTTTTACCAAAACTGAGAGCGAGACTGAACTTGGTAGCGACGGTCACGAACAAAGCGGCAGCAGCATCCATGTTCGTTACTGCATAGGTGTACAACGCGGCGTCATCCGCAAACTAAGACTCGGTTAGTGCAGCGAGACAAACGACTCTTGGCAGTCTGGTCGCCAACAAGCTTACGGCCAATTTTACGAGATTGGGACACCGGCACATTTGCAAGTAGAATGCCATGCATCCATTACCACGGCAAAATACTGACACACACACACACACACACACACACACACACGAGAGAGAGAGAGAGAGAGAGAGAGAGAGAGAGAGAGAGAGAGAGAGAGAGAGAGATAGAGAGAGATAGAGATAGAGAGAGAGAGAGAGAGAGAGAGAGAGAGAGAGAGAGAGAGAGAGAGAGAGAGAGAGAGAGAGAGAGAGAGAGAGAGAGAGAGAGAGAGAGAGAGAGAGAGAGAGAGGGAGAGAGAGGGAGAGAGAGACAGAGAGAGAGACAGAGAGAGAGAGAGAGACAGAGAGAGAGAGAGAGAGAGAGAGAGAGAGAGAGAGAGAGAGAGAGAGAGAGAGAGAGAGAGAGAGAGAGAGAGAGAGAGAGAGAGAGAGAGAGAGAGAGAGAGACAGACAGACAGGAGAGAGAGAGAGACACACACACACACACAGAGGGAGAAAGGGAGAGAAGAGGAGAGAATGTCCATCTTTTCTTGTGCAACAATGTTTAATACCGTATACACCTGGTTTGAGATATGCTACTCACCTCGAATTTCCCTGCGGTTTTATCCATGCGGTCCTCCACGCCAAACTGGCCTCCAAACCCTAGATGTAACGCAACACCAGCATACACAGAAGCTATTTTGTTTGCGGGAAACAAGAAGAGGTCCAAAGGAAGGTGAGATGCAAATCGCATGTAAAGTTAAATCAAGATCGACCTCCTACAATAACCAGCTCATACCACAACTTCAATAACCGACGACGAGACAGTAGTCATAAAATAGCAATTAATAAACTAATTGTGCACTCATAACCTCATAATGCACATACAAACATAACGCTTGCGAAGCACTGTATTCAGACATTCCGTCTGATCGCGAGTGTATCTCCGTTTAAAGCGTTATGTCCGTATGTGCATTATAAGGTTACGAGTGCACAATTAGTTTTATTCATTGGTAATACCAGAACTTCTATGTATTTTACGAAATACAATACACAGAATAACAAGGGCAAGCAAGGCTTGTTTGTCGCTACTCTGAGTTTCAATAACTGGTGGATGGTACCAAGAGTACATGAAAACCAGAGTGTGCAGCTTGGGCCTTCTCTGCTATGGGTGTCTGTCACGGCGGAATTCCGTGATTACATCATATTTGGCGCAGATCTGAGGCGGGAAATGGCATAGTGCGTACAACTGAGCTGCAGTTGTGCAGAAAGAGACCTGCTTGAATCCTGCTTGTACGCACTACATCACTACAATGATGTAATCACGGAATTCCGCCGTGACAGCCACCCATCCGAGCTGCACACTCTGGTTTTCATGTACTCTTGATGGTACTGGCCATGCCGGTGTCTATGCCAGGAGAGATATTAGTGGATTTTGTGGTGTCATACATGGGTGTTGATTTGGTAGTGGTGGGGGGGGGGGGGGGGGGGAGAGCACCACAGGGCAGGGGTGAGTGATAAAACCGGGGGGTTGCAGGGGTCTCCTCCCCCCTCCCCCGGGAAACAAATTCGCATCTTTCCACCAACAGGGCACATTTTAAAAGCGCTCTACAGACACTCTGGGTGGACCATCCCGGACGAAAAGCAGTACGACCATGGTCGTACGGTGTGTGACGCCCCTGCCCGCTACAATACAATATACCGTATGTTGCAAGCTGGTGAGCAGGCTGATTGTGAGCAGCATCTGTCCATTACTGGCATTGTGAATGCAGTGAGTAGCGACGTGATAACAACTGATACATAACATGTACAGTCGGGGCTGAACTGAGAAATCCGACGCTGAAGTCAAAAGAAGCGCTGCGTTTCCTTTTTGTATATTCGGTGTGTGTGGGCCGCCATTTGATAGCTCAAATTCTAGTATAAAGAAGAGGTTGTAGGGACTGGGAACAACACACACTTCCCCAAATTCCAGTACCCAATAAGACACTGACCTTTCTTTGCATCTGTGACACTGCTATGCGTTTCCGTCTTGCCGATGAAGTCGTGACCGACGGCCGACTTGTCCATGCGGTCCTTCTGCACACCATATCTACCACCGAAACCTACAGACGGGCATAGCAGGTTCAAGAACACAATCGCATTAATAATAATAATATGAACAGGTCGCATATTGCCCGCATAAAACAAATCATACGGGGGTCATGCATCTGTCCATGATGGTTAACCAGAGTTGCTTGTTGGTGGCGAGGTTGAGGCATTCCTGAATCGGCACATTCAGAGGATTGAGGTCTTCTTTGATGTTGTCGACTCATCTCTTGTGGGGTCGTCCACGGGGGCGCTTGCTATCGCATTGCAGGAGAATATCTGGTTAAAAAAATTTAAGGATCGCGTGAGACTCGGTTTCTCTAGATAGAGGCCGAGTTTTCCGCATCCGTAGGAACGCCACCACCCTTCAAGGATCAAGGCGCAGATGCAGCTCCTAAAGCGGTGGGAGGTAAGTAGATCAGCTCACCAGCATGTGGTCAAAGACCGAAAATCCCTTTCACTGCATCCATGTTTTCCTCGTGCCAGGCCACGAGTTCCCAATTAACTGTGGGTCGCAGTACGGCTGGAAAAAATCCTTCCGCTTCCAAGCAGGACTTGAACCTGGTTAAACATTGTGTAAAATAGTCCCGGGAAAAGCGAACAGCTGCTGTATGAAGCAGCTACCGCAAAATTAATATCGTAGAACGTACAGGGCATTAGTGATGCATTACGCAACATAGGAAGGTGAGCAAGTTCATACCAGACCTTATAGGCGATTCAGACTACGGCCAAAATCACGCGTGGACTTGAACTTCCATGGTGATGCAGTCGTGTTTCAAAATTTTACGCACAATCCCTGGTCAAATACGTCTGAGACGTAGAAACGTGGTCACAGTTGGCCGTAGTCTAAATCGCCTATAAGTGGTCTAGAGAGTCAATGCCTGGCGATTTGTCGGACCATTTCCTGACCGTCCGTTCAACAAAATAAGACAGGAATGGTGAATGAAGGGCTTGCTAGCCAGCACAGAATCCCAGGCCATGTGTCGCGAGACGTGCAACAAGCACCTCAAACACAGGTCCAAAGAGTGTTGCATTTCAATTTCTAGTATATGCTTTGTTTGCCAGATGATGATGAGCGTTCAGGTTGTAAGCAGCAGGAACGATTTTGAACCAGCCAGAAAGCACCACTCACTACTCAACACACAGTGCTTCGGGGAGCAAACACCTTCCCTATGAAACCATCGCCGAAGTCGCTACTACTATTTCTGCATTGCTTTAAAAAATTCACGGTTCGCGTCAGACTCGGCTAGTGGCCAAGTTTTCCGCATCCGTAGGAACGCCACCACCCTTCAAGGATCAAGGCGCAGATGCAGCTCCTAAAGCGGTGAGAGGTGAGTAGATCAGCTCACCAGCAAGTGGTCAAAGATCGAGAGAGTGCTTACCCTGGGAATAATCCTTCTGACTGCTATGGGCTTCCGTCTTGCCGACATAGTCGTGTCCCACGGCGGCCTTGTCCATACGATCCTTCTGCACCCCGTAACGGCCGCCAAAACCTGTGCATGAAGCATATACAGCAATAATACGTCGAAGTAAAAAATAAAATAAAATTCGCATGTAGCTCATGAGTGAGATCACCAATGAGGTTAACGGTGTGGGGTGGGGGAGACACAAAGAGATCACCAATGAGGTTAACGGGGGGGGGGAGGGGGGGAGACACAAACGCAGCAGCATGTACGACAAAGAGCTACACGCGCAGCCTCATGTACAACGAAGAGCTACAAGCGCAATCACATGTACAACACATCAGCACATCAAACAAGAAGTACGTGTACCCATTCTCTCCATTCTGCTTTTGTCTACCATAGGGAATGGCACATCAGACACTACTCTCCATGGTGTGTGCAGAACGATAGCACCGGGATTTCAGATGGTCAGGCCGGCTTGGATATTGGACCGTTAATATCATTTCAACCAGGGTCTGCCTGTTTTCAACCCTAGATCTGCATGTACCACTGTGCACTAATTGGTTGGGGTAATTTTGTGTACAGTCAACTTCGCTTATAACGACACTCGGCGGGGCAACAGAAAAGTGTCCTTATTCGCGAAGTGTCCTTATACCCGAAGTCTCATTGTATGTATTACAGTGGGATGGGACTTTGCTCTGGGCATGGAAATTCTGTCGTTATTCGCGAATTGTCGTTATATCCGCAGTCGTTATTAGCGAAGTTGACTGTATAAGAAAAAAAGGACCAAGAGCTACAAGTTACGCTATACTATCTACTAATACCACCAGTTACTTTACAATCAGCTCATGCGATAACATTGCACGACACTAACCAACGGTACTGACGTTCTACAACTAACTGGCAATCAGCTCTAGCACATCTTGGGTGCGCACACCAACAGCCTCCCAACTTGGAAGGTTCTAAGCCATAGAAATAACATAAGGACGGTAACTTGTAGCTCTTTGGTCCTTTTCTTCTTATAAATTAATCCTTGGCTCTCTACCAGAGTGTTATTTTGTGTGTTTGTAATAATGATCTGATCATGATCACACCATCCAGACCAGGTGTTATGACACCAGTGTACAAGCCCATTGCGCAATGACGTCATTTGTACTGCGAACACCACACACAGCCACCTGAGTAGGCCTTTCCCGATCATGCGACCACATCTTTTTTTTGCATTTTGGTGGTAAAAATGAATTTTTGGCATTTTTGGATTTTATTTTGCATTCAGGTGACCTGAGCAGCGTCGTCTGGGGTGTTGAACAGTGCATCCCTGATCCCAGCGTACTCATATGCATTGCTCATATCGGGCAATGCGCAATGGGCTTATTAGACCGGCATCCTCGTTCATGAAGGTGAACAAGCAGCTCCAAAGTCGCTGTTCGACCAGCCCTTGGAAGACTGTTAGCAGTGAGGAGCCTGTCTGGGTAGTACGTACACAACCTGCAGAAGTACATGTACTGTAGAACGAGTAATTTTAGCCACGTAAAAACCCTAGCGAATTTAGCGATCTACACATTTTCGCTAAAGGTTCAAGTCGCTAATCCGTTGAGACATCAGTAGTGCACTGGTGATCCGTGAGTAAAATCGCTGCAAATCGCCAAAATAAAGCGTCGCTAACCGGTTGACAATGGGAAAACGCTAAAATTTATAGTCGCTAAAATTACCCCTTCTACAGTATGCTGGGCCGCTCCATTGTTCTCTCAAACTTGTTCTCTTCAGGTCCGCAGTACTACTTGTCTGCTTGAAAAAAAAATGGATCAACGTGGGGTGATTCGGCCGGCAAAGTCGTGGCACTTGCAGTAGGGATATCAGCGAACGCACTGCGCAGCCCATCTGCGCAGGTCAGCCTGGCCCATCTACGCGCGGCCGACAAAAAAACTCATGAACCCTTTCATTTTTTTGCAAAATAAATCGTGCGAAGAAGATGCACGGAATGGCTGAAAACTAGGCTGAGGAAAAGTAGCATCCAGAGACTCTCAAACAAATTCAGGGCCCATCGCTTCTGACAATGGCAGCGAAGACATCAGGGAGCTGATTGCAGCAACTCTCTACCAAGCGCGACGCTGGTTACTCACCAGGGCAGGGCGCTTCCATCGCGCAAGAAATGGCCGCGAGCGAGAAATGCAAGTCCGATTTTGGAACGATCCAACCAGGGTAATCCCTTGAAAATTGGCCTGAACACCTCTCATACTGGTGTTTCACGATGTGCAAACTTTCAGAGAAATCGACCGGGGAGAACGTGGTGAGCTCGTGGGTCCTCCTGTGTCGCGTATGATTTGAATGGTCGCGGGGACAGAAGAACAGTAATTTTACGACTCCCAGCGGTGCAAACAGACCGCGGCCATGTTTTCTCTGTCGGCCGCGATCACGTTCAAAAAATCGATGACACAATGCATGCGCAGAGGCCTGCGCAGTGCGTTCGCTGACATCCCTACTTGCAGGCCCGGAGATTTCCAAGTGGGAAGCTCCGCAAATCGACAATTTTGTTGGCAATTTAAAAAGTCCCACCGAAATCCACACACGGATTCAGATTTCGGAATCAACCAGTGGCCGTCACACTGGTTTTCATCTCATATTTGTGCTTATTCAACTTTTCCAGGCTCGTCAAACGACTGCCAATGACAAATGAATGTGAAATTAAGCGTAATAGCCAACCAGACGAGACCACACGACGCTTGCAGACACCAGCGCGAACATTTCACCAGGCACACTCATGGAACGAAAGTTCTAGTGGTCAAACGAATGCTGAGAAGCTTCGAACGTTCGTTCTCGAGTCGACATTCGAATGTCAAGTTGACTGCCCAAACGAATATCGTAACTCACAAAACTGTGAACTCTGCACTCGTAGCAGCGATGTTCATGCATGCTAGCACGTACACACGTCTACTTTTGAAGCCGTGCCGCGCTGTCTTCAAGAGATGACTGTGTCATGTACATTACGTATGCATGCCATGTCATGTAACTAGTACCAGTAGCTGGCGCGAGGTGTGAAAGTAAGTAACGATAGTTGTACAATCATGTAGATCTACAAGGCCGGATGTTTGTGGTCCGATCACGAACTGGCCCAGACTCGAGTCGGTGCGCGCGTGAACCATGTGAACTGTGTTGTGGACTGGATGGACTGCGTGCACTGCACTGGTGCTCAACTGATTACTTCCTCAAGATCGTACAGTAGGTCTAGTCTGAGGGGTGAAGTCTAGTCTGGGTTGGACGTTGCATGCGCATGCAGTGCATCGCGCCCGGCTGTGAAACTGGAAATGCAGTGCCACAGGCGATTTTTGTCGTGACAACACTCGACGGTCTGTCTGAAATAATTATTATTGCTGAGAGCCGTCGTCGAGTCTTTCTTCATCAAATCCACCCAACGTTCGTCATGGCCGAGAAGAGTAGGCGCTCTGCGTATGGGATTTCGGAATAGAGAAAACGGCTGACAATATTATCTTTATTCTCAGGACAATATTGCTACGTGTACTCGGTGCAAGCCGCCGAAAGACTTGGCATACCATGGCGGAACAACGAATTTACGTAACCATCTGAAGGACGTTCACCATGTCGACTTGGATGGCGCAGGGGCGAAACCGAAAAAAGGACGGAGGAATAACTGCCTTCTTCAAGGCAAAGAAAGTGCCAGCGGCTAGATCCTCTGGATGCCACTACCGATTGGTGGAATTTGTGTGCAGAGATTTTTGACCTGTGAGTGTAGTCATTGGTGCGGGGTTCCTGTTGCTCATGAACTATCTCGAGCCTGGCTACACGGTCCCGTCTGCGAAGCAAGTGACAAAGCTAATTCAGCGGAAGCACGTCGCGGGCCTGAAGTTGCTGGTGCAGTGGTGGAGAACCTTGAAAAGGCCAGCTCCATGGCGCTGACTACAGACCTGTGGACAAGCAGACGAATGGAGGTGTACATCACCATCACTGTCCACTTCATAAATGAGTCATGGCATATACACTCTACAGTCTCTGTTGCAGACTTGCAGTGTGCAATTTCGCTTATGATTTGGGCGTTACATACTGGTCGGTAGCTATAATTTCTTACTGATTTCTTAATCATGAAACGGGCGACATTCGTTCGGTATTCGTTAGGAACATCCAGAGAAGGTTCGATTCGTTGTTAAGCACATTCGTTTGACCACTAAACGAAACAAGACTTGTCAGGAGCAACTTCTAGCTGTCGCGGAGTGTGGCCGGTGAAATGTTCATGCTGGTGTCCACAAGCGTCGTGTGGTCTCGTCTGGTCACAAGCAAAATCTACCACGACCCACCCCTCTTCTTTAACTCCATTCTCACATTCGCTTCCATGTAATTGGGCGTGTAGTCCGTGGGTACATGTACTTGCGAATTCAAATAAAATCTACCACCATCACCCCACTATGTCTGACTAGGGTGTCATCAAATAATCAACGAGGGGACAATAGTCATAAAAAGGCAATACATAAGATCAATTGTGCACTGATGAGTCATAACAACAAAAAACCGTCTACAACTTAACTTTCTTCATTTTCTGCTGTTGTTATGAGTACACAATTGATCTTATTTATTGCCATTTTATGGTGTAATCATACTCGATTATATAAATACCCCACCTGTGGAGTAGTCTTTCTGACTGCTGTGGGCGTCCGTCTTGCCTACGTAATCGTGTCCCTCGGCCATCTTGTCCATACGGTCACGCTGTACACCAAACTTGCCACCAAAGCCCTTCGATGCGTCCTTCACGCTGGAGTGTTTCTCAGTCTCTCCCTGGAAGATAACAACAGGTGTGCACGCATACAACGGTTACAGAAAGCCAGTCTCTCCCTTGATGATAACATGTGCAGTCATACGGTTCATCACGACTCGTACCACCGTTATAGTAAGTCAGTCTTTCCCCGGGTAATAACATTTGCAGTCATTCCACGGCTACGAAAAACAGTCGCTCCCTGGCTGATAACAAGTGCAGTCATACCACAGTTATAGAAAGTCAGCTTCTCCCCGGGTAATAACATTTGCAGGCAGAAACTAGTCGGAGGGCCGCTGGCAGGTTACACAATGAAAGTGCAGCGCCGTGCACACTGACACACCAGCACAGTTACCAGAGGTGTAGCTGGTTCCCCATTCATGGGGGTACACGGCATCAAAGTAATAACTACAGTCAACTTCGCTTATAACGACACTCAGCGGGGCATCAGAAAAGTGTCCTTATTAGCGAAGTGTCCTTATATCCCAAGTCTCATTATACGTATTACAGTTAGATGGGACTTTGCTCTGGGCATGGAAATTCTGTCGTTATTCGCGAATTGTCGTTATATCCGCAGTCGTTATTAGCCAAGTTGACTGTATTATGTGTAGGATGGCTGGTGCATGTCATTCATGATCATTGGGTGCATGCTGAACCTAGGTCAACAATTTGGGGGGGGGGCAGTGTGCACGTGACCCCCCCCCCCCCCCGTGCCCTATGCGGGCTTACGCACCTGCAGTTACCTACTCTTGATTATCATGCGCAGGGTGCTGATTGTGTGTGTGTGTGTGTGTGTGTGTGCGGGGTTTCGTCACGTGATGGGAAGTTCTGCCGTTGCAAATCCAGACACTACCCCAGACTGGAATTGCACACTCCTGGGGGTATGTACTCTTGCCAGCGAGCTTGCCACCCAAACGTGCCGAAAACCGGTTCAGGCAAATATAGATCCAACTGGATGGAAACGTCTACACCAGATTGCCCGCGGCCAGGCTGATGTGTACCACTTTCCAAAACAGCTTTTGCAGCTGTACACCGATCTCGGGACTAGGCTGTGATGTATCACCTTCCAGCCCAATAGCATTACAGCAGCTGTATACCAATAGCTACTGTACAGGCAGAACATTTCGTCGGTCAATGATCTCGTCCAACTCCAAAGAAAGGGAGTTCGTCCGGTTGTAAATTTCGTCCATGGATCATAGGAGTTTAAAGAAAATCTGGACAAATCGACATTAGTCCGGCATCTAAATTTGTCCAAAAGCTCCTTGGACGAAAAAGACGAAATTAAACTCCAGCAGTGACGAATATTTCTGCTTGTACAGTACTCAAGAACCCAGCATTTCAATTAGTCGTGTCCAGCAGTTACCTTGTAATCATGACCGACGGCGGTCTTGTCCATACGATCAGTTTGAACACCGTACTTGCCACCGAATCCCTTCTTGATGTCACGCACACTGTCATGGCTCTCCTGCACACAACAAACATACATCGACAAAAACATATTACATATACACATGCACAACCGTGCACCAACACACACATTATATACGCACAAATACAAACATATGCAAAGTATAACACAGACACACATACGCATATGTACGCACGAGTGTGTGTACGCATATGTACGCACGCAAGCACACATATACACAAACACAGACAGACACAGACAGACACACACACAAACACAAACACACACACACAAAATTGCAAGTACACATGCAACCATGCACGCCTACGCATGCGCATGCATACATTCACATGCAAGATTATTCATACACTGAGATTGCCCAATCTGCGGACAGAACTGTTTCGTCCTTTGTGGACTTCGACAAATTTTCGGCCCATTCAAATTTCGGACTCCCAGCGCTAAAACCCATTTCGGCCGCATCAAAATTTCAGCCTGTACTGCTGCCGCCTGTATACACTGTCATACTGAACCTTGCGAAACAACATTTCGGCCGCAACAAATTTTCGGCCAAACATGACCAGACCGAAATAGCCGAAAATAAATATGCGCCGAATATTTGTTGACTTTACAGTACACTGTGATTACTATTATTATACGTACACTGGGATTACTAATTACAAGAGTACATAACCCCCCAGAGTGTGCAACGCCGATCCAGCTCTGCATAGGGTCTTGGTCGAGCGGAATCGGATCTTCTGATGTCATGCGTACACTTCATACCAGCGCAAGGCCGGTCTCGAGGCAGGGTACCATTGTTTTTGATCCAAGAGCACCCGCGACTCCCCGGGTTCCCCTCAGATGTGTACGGTATTATGACGCAAAGATCCGATTCCGCTCGACCAAGACCCTATGCAGAGCTGTATCAGGTGTTGCACACTCTGGGGGGGTTATGTACTCTTGCTAATTATAACACTGTGATTACTAATTATAGGCACACTGGGATTACTAATTATACGCACACTGTGATTACTAATTATACGCACACTGGGATTACTAATTATACGCACACTGGGATTACTAATTATACGCACACTGGGATTACTAATTATACGCACACTGGGATTACTAATTATACGTACACTGGGATTACTAATTATACGCACACTGGGATTACTAATTATACGCACACTGGGATTACTAATTATACGCACACTGGGATTACTAATTATACGCACACTGGGATTACTACAATTGATACGTACATTGTGAGTATACGTAGTACACTGCCCTCATACGCACTGCAGTCAAGTGTAATACTCCTTATCGCCTTCTTAGTATTTGACCCCACTAATTTCCCTGATACCTAAGCGGTCAAATATATCGCGTGTTTGACTGCTTAGTCAAATACACGATATATTTGACTACTTATATTTGACTCCTTAGAACTTCTTGGACTTAGAAATTTTCTCTCCAACTTAGAAAAAGAAATTTTTGAAGAAAGCAGAAATACACAAGATGGGATTTGAACCCACAACCTTGTGAATCTCAGTCACTCTTCCTTACCACCCAGCCACTGTGCTACCGATGCTGAACCTTGTTTAAACAATGATCTTGACTTTCAATGCAGTACAATGCGGTATAGGCTATAGTATAATACTAGAATTACAAGGATATGTCGTATATGAAGAGAAACTATTGCGTGGAGAACACGATAAATAGATTATAGACCTCATAGTTGGTCTATACAGGATATATAGACCTCGTAAAAGACCTCGGGGGACCTCGGTCTTTTACTCGGTCTATATATCCTGTATAGACCTCCTAACCGGTCTATAATCTATACATATCGGCAACCGTGACAGACATTTCCTCTACAGAGTACAGGAGGAGATTTTCGCACACTGGGCAAACGCATATTTTCGATTTTCCTCAACCTGTCACATTCCCAGGGCTATCAGGTTTTTGATTTTTGTTTGTTTGTTTGAAATCTTCAATTTGAAACAGCTACGAGTAAGGATAAATTCTGGTGGGTAACTCCGCTACCTATCACTAGTATCAGCATCCAGCATCGGGTTTCAAACCAGGAAAATGCGACTACATTTTGTAAGCATTTTATTGAGCTCAAAATGGGACACAAAGATGTCGCTTCGAGTGCAGCCAGAACAGGGCAATTTGGCGACAAAATAATTATTGCAGTGGCATGACATTTACAGGCAATAAACTTGTTCAGACATCATCACGGTGCATCAGCTTGGCTGGAGCACACCGAAGTCAGCGACCAGACGCGAAGAAGCCATGCAACACTCCTGTTCACGCACTCATTTCGAGATTATTATTTTCGCACACAGCTCTTCGTGTTGACTACGCTGCACACAGCGGAAGCATTTTGACTACGATCACACCCTAGCGGAGATCTACGTGCCGCAAATCTTAGCAAGGCGCTACTGTTCTAGTCGAGGACTGACCTTTTCCGACTTGACGGCATGGTCTTCCACTACATTGCCTCGCAGCTGTCCCATGGAGAACGTGTCCTGGCGACCTGAACCTTCTACTGTTTTACTGCCCCATCGCTGCTCCTCTTCAGTCTGTTCATTGACAAAGTCTGGATCAGTTTCCCAGTCATCGTCTCCATCGTCCACCTGCAGCTTGGCACCGCTCGCGGCCGATGCCTTCCACATTTTCGCTGAACAAGTATTAGTTATCTAACAGCAAGTCAACGCTACAAGCGATGATGGAGGAACGGATTTCTGGATGAAACGCTAGCTAGCCTCCAGAGGTAGCGCTACTGCCACGGCGCTGGACTATCTGGAGTGCGTGTAGATCTACTGACTAAGTTTGGAAGCGAACGTGAGTGCAGCTATAAAGCGTCGATCAGTCAAAAAACAAACCTCTCCACCTGTTTTTTCCTGACTGTCTGTGCATGCATGCACGCGTGTCGTGTCACATGCCTCGATTTCCATTCGAAACGATTTTTAGCACAAACCGTAATAAACCTTGCAATGTCTGTGCGTATTACTGTGAATACCACTCCATTTTTTCATATCACATAATACATTGTAGTATTATGATTGTAGAAAGATTAGTGTTGCACCCTCAAGTCGAAGTCAAACCTATCTAAATCCTGCCTGTATCATGTCAGTGTACATGGTGGTGTATGGTCGCAGCAGCAGAGGTTCACGCCAGCTCGCCAGCAAAGGCAGCATGCAGCCATGGCATGATGACTACTGACCTGTACTGTACAATCATCAGCGATCATGTATGTAGACTTTAGTCCTGGTACAGTGTACAGTGTTGCCACTTGTCAGTGTTGACTGTTGGTATCCTGGTATCCAACCAAGGCCAACACTACACTCTACAGGCTCAGTACACATGGTACAGGTCTGATTTGCTGTACACACTGTCATGTATTCAGCTGGGTATGCTGAGAAGTTGACGATGCATAATGATGGCTTGATGGGCTTCCATAACAACATGGGTAAGTGTTTATCCAATAGAGAATGGCTGAACCCTGTGAACTGGATCGAGTGAACCAGGGTGGACAGTGTGCATGGAGAGCTGCGCTGTTATGTATTACAGAGCAGCTCTCCACAGACAGTACACTCCAGCCATTGCCCCCACCCCCTTCCTTCCTCATACTAGGCATTGGCGGAAAATGCTCGAAAAGATGGCAGAGTCTGCTCGAAAAGCAGTGAAATTGGCAGAACCATACAAACCTTATGGCGGGCAATTCCTCAAATTCTGCTCCATTTCTTTATCCACAAACATGTACTGAACGTGCATGAAACTTACCAGAAAAAGTACCGAATTCTGCCAATTTTTCTGCCGGCATTATCCGCCAAGGCCTGCCTCATACTACTAGTAGTCACATTGTACATGTGCAATGTACAGTGAAACCTGTCTAAGACGACCGCTCAAAGGGACCTTCAAAACGTGGTCTCCGTTACCGGGTGGTCTCCGCATGCAGGGCCGTTTGACCGGAAATAACATCCCTTGGTCCTGGTTTCAGTGGTCTTCTAGGACAGGTGGTCTTCTAGGACAGGTGGTCGTCTTATCCGAGCGGTCGCCTTGACAGGTTTTACTGTATACACGTATGCAGGGGTATAGCAGCCGGTCCGGCCGGACCACGTTTCACCCAGAAGTACCCAGAATGAAGGATTTTGCACCCTAATTTCAAAATTTTCCGGCGGGAAACCCCCTCCTCCCCCCCCCCCCCCCCCCCGCGGCCGGACCACCTCCAACGGCGGTGCCACGCGCCTGGCATGTGCATCACAGACTGCATGCACTCATCCAAATGTACGATGTACATGACTGTATAAGCATCCAGTCACTGTAACGTCTTGTTCTTGTCTTGGCACCATAAGGCTCGGTGTACCGTCGTCCTCTGGAAACAAAATTGCCAAGACACCCTTATAAGTAAACAGTTTCCTCTGAGACAAAAATGCGATAATACTCATAAAAAGGACACACACACTCTTATAGTTGCGATTTACAATCATGATTTCCCATCATGATTTCCCATCCAATAGTAATGCATGTACGTGAAAATATGATACCTTGAATTGGAACAAAGATACTAGTAATGGATCTGTGATAGCGCCTAAAATATTCGATCTTCGCCCTTTCTATCTCTCTCATCAAAACTTTCACTGTGCAGAAATACTTCAGTAGAAAAACTGAAATGCGACAAGAAATGTCTGAAAGAAGGTCCTTCACTCATCGTAGAAACATAGTAGTGAGTAAGATATACCACTGCAACATGTTCTAGGCTAAGAGTACAGTGTGTTTTTGTGAGGCACCTATGTGACAGACAGAGCAGGGATCATGCACCTATGTGACAGACAGAGCAGGGATCATGCACCTATGTGACAGACAGAGCAGGGATCATGCAGCAGGAACGCCGAGGATTAACACTTGGATATCACGTAGAACTTAGCCGAATGCTTGGCGAGAGGACCACTGCAGAGAGTCACACATACACAGCAGAACATTTCTTCATCTTTGATTGACAATGACAATTCACTACAAGTACAGCCTTCCGTTCTCCTCGCATTCGTATGACGGTAACTTTCAAAGACCTCGTGCACCCCTATGATTGCCTTTGCATGCCGCACTCAACGTAATCCACCACAGCCATACCTGTTCAATATGCCATCAGGCACAGGGCCGCTTGCCTGCGTCCAGATGTCGTACTGCTGGCAGGTGGTGCGCGATGCTATGCCCAGCTTGGATAGTGGGAACGTAATCGACTCTGTTTCGTCTCCAGCATTCAGCAGCACCACGCCGTACTCATTATCCGGCAATGGTTTGGCCCATACCTGGATGGAGAAGAGAAGAAAGGGGTGCGTTCATTCATATGAGTGAAACAGTTGAAACGAGAAAGGTCTGAAGGAAAATGTACACTAGGACTCGAACCAGGGACCCTCACAAACGGCCAAAGATGGGGTTCGACTAAGCCACTTAGTGGAAGGTCTTCCACTATACATAGCAGTATGCCGTGATCTACTGTTGTGACAGTGCATATTGAAATACAGTGGAATGATCGGGACAGGCGCCCTTACTGTCCCACACACAATGCAGTTCATTCACCGTATTTCCCCGATTCTAAGTTGCACCCCCCTTTTCAGGTTTGAGAAATATTGAACTTAGAATTCTTGCAGGTTGGCCGAGTGGAAGGTGCGACGTTCTCCTCGTGTGCTCCAGATGGCAGTCATGAGTCAGTCAAGTGTCAAGTTCGGCAAGAAGCGTGTGTTCCTAGTTGGAACAACCAACTTCTTGAGAAATATTGATTTGACATATTGACTTAAGTAGTATGTCACACTCGATCGTGAGTCACACCCCCATTTTTACCCTTGAATTTTAGTGTAAAAAGGACTTATATTCTGGGAAGTACGGTACAAACTACATGTAGTGGACCAGCAGGGCTCACGGCTGCAAGGCCAGCACCCCGTAGTTGCTCGACTTCTCAACGGATTTCAATGTCCACAACAGAACGAGTCTTCCTGAATATGTTGGTGGATAAATCAGCGCATTTTGGAATCTTTCAAAAGTTTCCAGCCCTCATGACACCTGATCATGTTCCTTATCAGGATTATCCACGAGGATGGGATCCAGCAAGCATTTCATACGGTATCCTCCGTGGGCACAAGTCACACAGCACCATGCATCATCATTGTAACCAATACGGTGACTTGTGTACGATAGCTCTGTTCGAATGAACATTGAGCATTCTACCGCCGAGCCGGAGGACTCTCATTTGTGTCTCCCATGGAAGTAGTATGGCTGGGAGGAAGGGGAGGGGGGGGGGGGGGTTCTAGACCAAAGTTGAACCCGGAGGTCAACTACTCATGTACAACATAATCAGGACTGCCGCAAGCTGTTTTCAATTGGTCTGGTCCTACCATAGTCTTTCATACAGTTTGTGTATAATATGGCGGGGACGTATGCCATCCTCAGCATTGCGGCGGGGACGTATGCCATCCTCAGCATTGCGGCGGGGACGTATGCCATCCTCAGCACTGCCAGTAGCTACAAAGTTGGTGCGGTGTTAACCTGACCAGTCGCACCGGTTACGCCGGGCCTGACGATGGTTGTGTTTGCTCTGCATCTCACCTCCAGTGTGCCGTTGACCATGACCCGATCACCAGATGAGTTCAGATACCGCTGGTTGACGGAGATAGCCACCTTGTTCGTGTATATAGCCAGTGTTGCCTGAGTGCAAAAAAATGAAAGAAACCCAAATAATAGAGCAGTGTCATGCTACAAAATCTTGACGTATAGTCAACCTCGTGAACAACGACCTCGGATATAACACAACAAGTCACGAAACATGAAGGGTCCTCACACACACCATCCTCAGGTTTTTCATGTAATGAAGTGGCTGCATTAGAGCTCGCGCACATTAAGAAACTCGTGAAAAACGAGACCTCTCTCATACCCGATCAAGGGTTGTTATCCTCAAGGTTGACTCTATGTGAGTAACTCCGGCAGTAGGAACACATCCTCCGAAGCACACATAACTCTTGCAATATAGTACATACAGTCTTGCTCAATGAAATCCAGTCGTGTCACTCCAGTTTGCGCCTGGCACAGCTTCGTAGCCCAGTGTTGCCAGGTCTAGGGCTGCGCAACGCCCGGCGTGTACTTGAGTGCATCGACTGGATTTCATTCAGCAGTGCTGTACAATCGGTTTCATAGATAACAACCAGGTTGATAGACACTAAAAGCATGAGTACATAACCCCCCAGAGGGTGCAACGCCGGATCCAGCTCTGCATAGGGTCTTGGTCGAGTGTAATCGGATCTTTGCGTCATAATACCGTACACATCTGAGGAGAGCCCGGGGAGCCGCGGGGACTCTCGGATAAAAAATAACGGTGCCTTGCCTCGAGACCGGCCTTGCGCTGGTGTGGAGTGCACGCATGACATCAGAAGATCCAATTACGCTCGACCAAGACCCTATGCAGAGCTGGATCAGGCGTTGCACCCTCTGGGGGGTTATCTACTCTTGCTACCGTGCGTATAACATCCTCAGGTACGTGTATAGCAACAGTTAGCGAAGAGCGTCACAATCTTCAGATCTAGCATACATTCTACTGCATACAGTAAAACCTGTGAATAGCGACCACCCCTTGGGGACAGAGAAAGCGGTCTTTAGTGGCAGGTGGTCCTTAGTTAGAGTTTGCATCGCATAACCATGAATGTGAGACTGTCCGTGCCTGGCAAAGTGGTCTGTAGTACTAGTCTGGTGGCTTGTCATGGTGGTCTTTAGTTACATGTTTTACTGCATACATTCAAACTCCCGAATAACAACATTTCCCTCAAACCCGGCAAATGGTTATTATTGGCCAGGTTAACTTTGCCCGCACTGAAGTACATCTTGTTATTTCACAGCTCACATGGTCACAAGTCAGACGTACTGTTTCTCATCCTCAGTCAAGGTACATCCTCTTCTCCTTCATACAGCCCTACACATGTTATTTCCAAATTTCTTTTAATCATGACCGCTGCTACACAAGAGAGAGAGAGAGAGAGAGAGAGAGAGAGAGAGAGATTGGAATCTGTGTCCAAACTCTGAGTCTCACGTGTTACTACGGTCATCAGGCAACGAGAGAAAAGAGCAGTACGAGGCATGTGGCCTCTAATTTACATCAGGCAACCCGACAGCTGAGATAGACTCTTACGGCATCCATGCTGGTTAGGTCGTTTCCAGCGATTAGCGGGGAAGACGTGACACACCACAGACTGAAATGTGCCACCGCCTCATCGTGACTCAAGCCGGAGTTGCCAACTTCCAAGAAATCTACAAACAGAAACAGAGTTGGAAGGCTGGTGGTTAGCGGTTTGGAGATGAGTTTGAGCTCGGTGTCAGGTTGTCAAATGTCTGAGTACTCTGTCAGTTTTGTGCCTGGTTGTTGCACTTTCTGACTGCATATACTGCCGTGGACATGGACATCCAGTCGATTGACCTGGTCCGGCGTCCTCAGCGCGTACAGAACAGTGCACAATCAGGATCCGAAGCAACCAGCACGCTGCAGTGCATACTTTCCATGATGTCGTACACGTGTGTACAGTAGTCAGGTACTGTTTACCCAGGGCTGCATGGCCAGCTCCCTGGGGCCGCTAGACGTGCGACCGGACTTCCATGTCCAACAGAGTAGTATCTAGTTGCAATCTCCGTGTCCTGTCTACACTTATCATCGGCTCAACATCCGAGTTTCACAAACAGAGCTATGCACGTATGCTTCAGAACATTACATACAGAATACAAAGAACACGAATCCACTGTCTTTGAGTTTGAAATCTTAGAGCAGATACTGTTTTTGCTGTAATCGTTTAGTTTTTTGGAGCGCTTGGGTCGCAGTAAAGCCGAGACCCTATGGTCGGTCAAGCTGCTCCTGCCTCTCTCCCCACTCCCGCCACTCCATATTATGTCTCCCTTGCTGCTTTGTGCCGTCAAACGGTGCATGTTTTTGTATTTTTAAAAAACTGTCTATGTGTAACCTCTCCACGACTTACCGGGATCGTTCCATCTCCCTGGCCCACCGTACGCACCACGCTCCACCAGCGTATGCAGGTTGCTCATAATACTCTTCCAGCTGTCGTTGATGTCACTACTCGACCTCCACATGTTAGCACTCTCTAGCATGGGACAAAGGAGGCCATCGGGTAAGAAACTCGGAATTGTAAAAAAAACTCTGCAAACCTCGCGTGTGCCTTGTGTGTACCGTGAAGTACTGTTGATCTCCCCCCCCCCCCCCGTGGCGCTTCCCAGCTCGTTCTTTGGCAGGGTACGGGAATAAGACCAAGTCGTTCAAGTGCAGTACGATGTACAACACAGCAGTATCCTAGTCGGAGACAAGATAGCAGTTATTGATAGAAACACAACCAGGCGACAATCCACAGACACCGATTCGCGTTGGCAGAAACGTTTTTCTCCTGAATTCATCAGTGACTACTTCTAGTAGATGCTAGAGAATACAAGAAGTAGCTCACACGGTAGCAGAAAATAGAGCCCACCTTGCTACTGCTGTTCTCACACCTATAGTAGCTGTAGAGCCCACCTTGCTACTGCTGTTCTCACACCTATAGTAGCTGTATTTTCTGCTACTACGAGCTACTTCATTCATTCTCTTCCATGCAGCTACCAGAAGCAGTCACTGATGAAGTCTGGAAAAAAAGTTTCTGTCAAAACGAATCGGTGACTGTTGGTTGTTGATTGGTTGTGTACTTTATGTGTGTGATGAAAATAAACATACTCAGGGCCAATACAGGGCACATTCATTGGCCACACGATTATTAGATTGCGCATTGGAAAAAAGGTGTTGAAGCCACATGTAGGTGTCAGGTCGTTGAATGTCTCAGTATTCTGTCTTTTTGTACCCAGTTTTAAATGCACTTTCTGACTTGCAAATTGTCTAGCCACAGTAGTGGACAGTTGCTCTTAGCCTGTATCCACCAGGGGCGTCGGAAGGAGTTTAACATTGGTGCGGCCAAAGTGTGAGAGGGGGTCCTCCACGGTAATGTTTTTTGAAAATTGGGCCTCAAAAGCCATATTTTAATGCTACAGAATAATATGAGAAATAAGAATATGCATGCTGATGACACACCGCATTGTCGATGTAAAACATGGTACCTGTACAAGAGTCGACAAGCCACCAACAAGGTTGAAATGTAAAAAAATGAAAAAGAAAAAATCCAAAATTATTGGTGCGGCTTTGGCCGCACCTGCCGCACCAGTTCCGACGCCCCAGTCTACATGTGCACTTATGACTGTGTCCTTTCACCTTCGGCAATGATCGATGAGATTGAAATTTACAGCACAACTCACGTGGACACCAGTCAAACCACGCGTTGGTTTGGCATCCGTTATGGCAGTTGGAAACGAGTACGGGACGACCGCTCTCGTTGAAAAGACGCGCCCACTTGGCCATTGTGGGTTCATGTTGCTCCTGCACCAGCACAGACACATGCCCAGACACATGCACAGACACATGCCCAGACACATGCACAGACAGCGTGATATATGCATACATGCACAGACACATGCACAGACAGTGTGATATATGCATACATGCACACTGGTGATGTGATTGAGGCATACTAGTAATATAACATACAAGTACACGGATTCAGCAAGAGGAACCTCGTTAGGCGCATCCATGTAACCATCGCACTGAAAGTATAACTTGCACACTCAGCACAGCAACATCTGTTAGGGATCCGGCTTAGGATAGGTTTGTCTAGTAGTGAACACCACTTTCTCTAATAAAAACTTGGATGTTGAGGCAATAGTAATAATTATGTAAATAGAAAAAGACCTATAAGATACTAGTTATAACTCACAGGGTCTCAATGTCTCAGCATCCTTTTCAGTTTTGTGCCTTGTTGTCACAGTGTTTGTCTGTATATTATCTCGTTACGTCGAATACCTTGGTGGGCTGTTAGTCATACCTAGTAACTTATAGGTGCTGTTCTCTTTACATATTACCATTCTCTCTCGTTTGGATTGCCAAAAATAAGGTATGGGATCTCACCGTAGTAGAGCCGCAAGCATCGATCTTCACCATGTCAGCTCCAAATGACACGAATAGTTTGGCGTCTTGCTCTTCATATCCCTGCAGACAGCAACAGCAAATTCAAGATCTTCACATGCTAGAGTGGGTACGTGCAAGTTCGATCCACGGAACCTTGGTTCATGACAATTTGTTCGGCCAAATACAGAAGTCGCTGGGTCCATGATCCGGACAGTACAGGTTTTAATCTACCTAGAGCGTTATATCAAGGTACCGGTGGAGCCGTGTGACAGGCTAAGTCCGAACTCTAAGTTTCACAAGAGTTCGGCCTTAACCTTATGTTCTTTTTTTACAATGATCACAGCTCACAGGCAAAGACAAAAAATTGCATAGTGGGAGCATAGTGATGGTGAGGCTTTTTGCCCTCAGCCGACCTGAGGTCTCGACGTCATGGGGACATAAAACGCACCAAAAAAAGAAGAAAAATGAAAAGAGTAACACTGAGGTACATGATCCGAAATGTTAGGAGGAGAGACAGTACATTA